CCAACAAACGCATGGAAACACCGAAAGCAAATACTTGATGTTGGCCTCTCGGGGTTCTCTTGGGGAGGCTGTTGGGGCTCTCCCAGGGCGTCTCGAAGGCTTCGTGGGCCGTCTGGGGGCCATCCTGGGCGTATTGGGCAGCTTTGGGGGGGCCCTATCAGGGACCTCCTTAGGGCTGTCTTGGCCGTTTTGGGGCCTCCCTGGGTGGACGCCGTGTCGGAAGCCTGCGCGGAACACTTTAAGAGCGCCCAGCCGTGTCCAAGAGCGCCCAAGAGCGCCCGGATGTGTTGCGGCCTGAACCTTTTGCAAAGAGCTACACCAACCGTTCAGCATTGCATGACCTTTCAGAGCTGCATGAGCCCAGGGGCACTCCACTACGCGCTGAAAACATGGTGCCGGATATTCGTACAACCGCATGTGCATATGTATGTGTTTGCGTTGTTGATGTGTGAATGTGTATGCTTCTGATTATGTATACAAAAATATGTATTTGTGTACGTATACACGCACCCACAGGTAATTATATATATGTGTATATGTGTATGTATGTACATACGCATATGGTTAAACATGTTTATGGTTGCATGTGTTAGGTTATGTGCATGTGTATGATTATGTACGTGTATGTGCATATGTAATTCAAATACGCATGCATATGGTTGCACATATACATTAGTTATTTGTATACGCGTATATATATATATATAATTAGTGTGCATGCTTCTATGTACATCTGCACAATTGTGTGCAGGCATCCTCGTATGTAGATGTGCATGCATATGTGCATGCATGACTGCATGCATGTGTATATGTATGTGGTGTATGTATACATGTATGCCTGTATGTATGTATGTGTGTATGCATGTGTGCGTATGTATGTATGCGTATAGTAATGGATGTGTGTATGGATACCTGCATGCATGCATGCATGCATGCATGTGCGTATGGTTGTGTGTATGTATGTATGGGTGTATACACGGGTGTCTGCCTTTCATGTATGCATATGTCTCTATACACACGCATCACACATACTTATATCCACATATGCCTAGATGTGTGTCTATATATTTATACATCAAGGTATCTGTATATGTATATATATATGTATATATATGTGCATGTGTATGGGGAGACCGCCGAAAAAAAGCCAGAGGCCTTTGCGGGGACGGTGGCGGTGGGCTGACCCCTGACATCCGCCGATATGATTTCTTGTTATGCGGCCCCAGAGAGGTCCCGACGGCTTCCCCGGGGAAAGTTCTTCGCCCCAGCTTTATGTTTGATGGTCCCAGAGGCCGAAATCGGTCCCCGAGGGCTGAAACCAGGGGAACAGATGCGGTTGGAAATAGCATACCATCGGATACGGGTGTCCGTTTTTCCGATGTGTCTGAAGAGACCGCGGAAAACAGCTGGACACCTTTGCGGAAGCTGCGACGGCGCGGCGAAGAGAGTATTATGTGTGCGTTTGGGCGACCTCCTTGGGACCTACCTAACGGATCGGCTCGATTATAGTTCGAATCCGCTTGGACTCTAGTTCAACTGTAGCCCGACTCGCGTCCGACGCATGCTCGACTCGGGTCTGACTCGAGTCGACAGATGCTCGACGCAGCATCGAAGCATGAGTGGAGCGAGTGGCTCCAGGAAGGTCCCCAGAACGAGCATTTGATCGGCGCCACCCCAACATACGTATACTAAATGTGCGTCGCCCCCCCAGGGGCGACGCGCACACCGCGAAATATTATAGTATATGCGTCGTGGCAGACGCTTTCTGGCCACACCGCTTGGGAAACGATGTGCTACAAGATGGGTATACTATATGTTCGGGTCGGACGCGCGCCTCCGAGGAGGACGTATATAGTATTAGTACGTCTCTGTGCGTCCCAGTTGAGGGGCTGGGCAAGTCGCGCGTCTGGCATGATATGTTCGGCCTCATGTATGTTCCGACTGCCCATTCTGCGGGCAATAGTTATATCCATATCCAGTGCGTCTTGGATTCTTGGGTTCTCTTCCCCAGAAACCGTAGACGCACTGGATATGGACAGAAATCTGGCCCCAAAAGGCTTGATTTTATCCACATCCAGTGCGCCTCGGCGTTGCGGCACCTCTTCCCAAAAAGTCCACGACGCTCTGGGTATGGATATAAGTACTGCCCGCACATTTTGTCCGTTGCCCCACGGCAGGCTTCGGGTTGCGGCTTCTGGGGGACGGTGCAGGGGACGAGGAGGGCGAGCGAGGGCCGATGCGGAGGACGTGGAGGGGAAGCAGGAGGAGCGGAGGACCGCTTCGGCTGCTGTGGCCCATCCTGCTGCAGACCGCTTGCGGTTGCCATACGACGCCGGCCGTGCCCCTCTACAGGAGGGATGCTTCAGAAAAGTCAAAAATTGTCTGGGGACGTTTTTTCGGGCCGTTCTGGCTACTTTTGCATATGTTTTGATTTTTGTTCCCCAAGCAGTGCTTGCACTGAAGGGGTCCTAGCAGAAGTTGAATGATTTGGCGAAGGTTTCCCGCCGATTTTGGTACCAGTTCCGGGTTCCTGGGTTCTTGGTTATTGGTTCCGGGCCGATTTCAGTGGCTTCTGGGTTCCCGGGCATCGGGTTCCCGGTCGATCTCTTCAGCGGAAACCATCCATTGATTGGAGCTTTTCTCTAGTGAAATTTAATGTTTCCTCCAAAATCCGCCAGTAGGAGGATGTGCCCCGACCTCATTTTCACACCTGCGCCGCCAGCGTGCCCCATCCGTCCTCCCCTCTCCGCTTCCGGCTCCAGGGCTCCTCAGGGCCTCCCGGCCCACCCATCGCTGTGAACGCCGCGCGCCGCTCTAGAACGCCGTAGAGCCCGACGTAGCAGGCAACAGAGGGAGGCCTTTCAGAGAAGGAAAAAATGTACCCATGCCCCGACCTTCTCTTCGTTTTCCCCTTCTTTGGTCTCCTGGGTGGCCATCGTCGCCACCGCTGGATTCGCCTTGGAATCCTGGTCAGAACGCAACCCGGGAGAGGTCCGGGGAGCAGCGGTATCGGCACTTTTTCCCTACCTAGGCTCTGCCTAGAAGGGTTCTTACTCTCTTAGCTTAAAGGGGCCGGGCAGTGGAACACGCCCCGGGCGGTTCCCCCAGTCCCCTGGGAGCGGTTCCCCCCAGTCCCCTGGGAGCTTTAGCTTTAGCTTTAGCTTTAGCTTTAGCTTTAGCTTTAGCTTTAGGCTTAGCTTTAGCTTAGCTTTAGCTTAGCTGTAGCTTAGCTTTAGCTTAGCGTTTCGCTTAGCTTTTCGCTTAGCGTTTAGCTTAGCTTTAGCTTAGCTTTAGCTTAGCTTTAGCTTAGCTTTAACTTAGCTTTAGCTTAGCTTTAGCTTAGCTTTAGCTTAGCGTTTCGCTTAGCTGTTCGCTTAGCGTTTAGCTTTAGCTTTAGCTTAGCTTTAGCTTGATTTAGCTTAGCTGTAGCTTAGCTTTAGCTTAGCTTTAGCTTAGATTTAGCTTAGCTTTAGCTTAGCTTTAGCTCAGATTTAGCTTAGCTGTAGCTTAGCTGTAGCTTAGCTTTAGCTCAGCTTTAGCTCAGCTTTAGCTCAGCTTTAGCTTAGCTTTATCTTAGCTTTAGCTTAGCTTTAGCTTAGATTTAGCTTAGCTTTAGCTTAGCTTTAGCTTAGCTGTGGCTTAGCCTTAGCTTAGCTACAGCTTAGCTTTAGCTTAGCGTTACTGTTTCTACTAATGCTGCTTTTCTAGGGGTTCCAACTCCTAGGTAGGGTCGCACTGGGATAATTGGTTTCCCCAGTTTTTCATGATGGCCCCCCTGGATCCGTCCATAAACCCGTGGAAACATAGTTATAGTTGTCCCGATTAACAAAAACGTTCATGACATGCCCATCTGGGTTAGAGCTATGTTTTTTTTATGGTCTGGGCCATAATGGCCGTGATCGGCCCCTTCCCTCCCCCCCGATCACGTCACGCTATTCTGCCCACATTTGCAAAGAGCTCCTAGTACGGAGGATCACGCCCGCAATTTGCAAGCGACAAGGGAAAGCAGGCTCTTGATAGGAGCGGAGGAGCGAAGAAGAGGGCAAGCAAAACGAGGCCTAGCGGAGGGCGGAGGCGTCCCAGACTCCCGACGTCGCGATCCACTCACAGCGCCCAGGGGTCTGGACCCCCTTCCCGGGGGCCGGTTTGTCATCCCGATCGTCGTTTCGCTCGCGGCCCTCCCCGGGGCCCGGGCAGGGCCCCCGCGGAGCCCGGAGATCGCGGTCAAAGCTTCCCGTCGCGGGGCTCTTCATCCTAATCGAGGGGGTCTGGGGGGAGCGAGGAAGACGGCAGCACGAGGCCCGGCGGAGGGCGGAGGGTTATGATGTTCCAACCGACTCTAGCCTTGTCCACCAGAAAGAATGTCGAGCACCAAGAAAGCACGCCAAAAACTCGAGGGTTTCACGTGTCGGGCCCTGGGAGACACTCGCCCGACACTGTTTCGACACTGTGTCGACACTCTTTCGACAACTTTTCTGGGTGCTCGAAATTTGGGATGTGGTCCTTGAGTACGATGGGAGCAACATTTGGAGGCTGGTACACCTCCTGCCCGGACACGTCGACTAGCGAATCGGCCGTTTTCGGTTCACGAGGGGGCGTCGCGGCCGTCGCTTTTGCGAGCCCGGGTCCGTCGGCTTCGGTCCCAGGCCGTTCTCACTGAAGGGCGGATTACTAAAGCCAGGAGGAAAAGAAACACTTTTTTGATCCGCGGGTCGAGAGCGAGGTCTTCCGGTCGAAGCTAAGCGGGCCGCGCACAGTTTTAATTAACAGAGGAGGGGAAAGAGAAGGCGGGGCCTCACGTCAAGGCCGAGAGAGGGCAAAGCCCCGGGATCGCAAAGAAACACACAGGGCCCCTTCATAAAGGGAGGCTTGCCCACCGCCGAAACATACGCGGAGGGGTGGCGGAGGCCCCCGGCGGAGGCGGCCGGCGGCGGTCTTGCGCCGGCGGGGCCCCCCCCACCCTGCGAGGCAGCGGCCGCAGGGAGGCGGCGGCCCCGAAGGCCGCGCCGCGGCGGCCGGCGCCGGCGGCGCGGGGCCGGGCGCGGGCGAGGGCCAGCCAGCGCCCGCAGGCCCCTCCTCCTCCTCCTCCTCCGCCTCCTCCCTTCCTCCTCCTCCGCCTCTCCTCTCCTCCTCCTCCTCCTCCTCCTCCTCCTCCTCTCCTCCTCCTCCTACAGCTCCGCCTCCTCCTCCTCCAGCTCCTCCTCCTCCTCTTCCCTTCTCCTCCTCCTCCCTCCTCCTCCGCCTCTCTCTCCTCCCTCCTCCTCCTCCTCCTCTCCTCTTCCTCCTCCCCCTCCTCCTACTCCACCTCCTTCTCCCTCCCCTCCTCGAGTCCTCCTCCTCCTCCTCCTCCTCCTCTGCCTCCCTCTCCTCCTGCAGCCAGCGCGGTGCATCGCCGACACATCGGCGATGCAGTGGCGATGCGCGCCGCGGAGCGATCCCTCGACCCCATCCAGTCGGGCACCATCTAGGAGGCCTCTAATTACACAGGTGAGCCCTGCCCCCATCCCCCCACGAGTGTGAGCCCTGCCCCCATCCCCCCACGAGTTTGAAGGGGGAGGGGGGGGGTCCCTGCATTCGGGAGCTTCCGAGCGGAGAGTGAGCCCCCACCCCACCTTAGATATCGCGGGGGGGTGAGGGCAGGGCTCACATGTGGCCGCCTGAAAGAACATCGGCCACGCGTAAAAGGGGGGTCGGCTACTTTGCATCTTCGGGGGCCCCTTTCAGTATTTTCTCTTGTGCTCCGGCGTGGGTTCGACGCGCATTCGGCATGGATTCGGCAGGGGTTCGACACGGTTTCGACATGGTTTCGACACGGAGGCGACGCGCTCGACACTGATTCGGCACGGATTCGACGTGGATCGCGGCGCGGCTTGACAGACGAGGTCCCCCGAAGATGAAACACAAGGGCAGGGGTAGGCAGGAAGACTTCTTGTAGAAGCACCCCTGCTTCTCAGAAGTCGTGGGCCTTGTCTCTATATGTGAAGCAGGCGCCTTCTGAGAAGCACCTCCTAAGAAGCCTTCCCCCCCTCCCCATACCCCATTGTTCGCGCAGCCAAATCAACATAAGATTTCGGAGGTCCGCGCGGATTTTTTTGGATCTGCGCCCGACCCCTTGGCGGCGCCTCCGGCGACGAGTGCGCGCGCCAGGGACGGGGGCCCAGCGTGGATGCCAGAAATACGCGTGGCTTTCCAAAAGTGAGTGTTTATGCCGGTGCTTGTTCTTCTATCTATGCCTCCCAAGAGGGTCCGAGTTCACATCGCAGATGCATCGCCAATGCGGCTCGATGTGGAGCCTGCTTTGCTCCTTGCTGGCGTCACCGATGCACCCCCGACGTCGCTGATGCATCGCCGATTCATCGCTGATGCATCTGCGATGCGGCGCGATCCTCCGAGCCCATCTATTCGGACACCTTCTGGGAGGCCTCTACTCACACTCTCCAGCCCAGAGCTCCAACGTAAGGAACAGAAACAAGACGGAGGCTTGTCACCGTGGTTTCCAAGACAGTCCCCCGACAGGCTTCAGCAGGAGAAACAGCTGCTGAGGGTCGAGATGTCCGGGGACCCCGTATTTGAAGAACAAGACGTCGGAGGGCGTCGGGGATCTCGACTTTTTCACCCGGACCAGATTTTCATCTTGTGCCGCCTTTGAACGGTGCCAGAGCCGGGAAACGGCTTCCACGCATGGTAGAGGCCAAATTATCAAACCATGTCGTCGCAATTGTGTTGTGTCTGTATCTGAGATCATCCGTCGGGTCACCCTTCGGGAGGAACGAACCCAGTCTTCGGACGGATTGTGTTCTAAATCCTAGCGTTTTTCCTCGGGGCCCGTTTTCAGACCCCATCCCTGCTACCAATGAATATCTGGGTGGAAATTTGCCTTGGTCAAGGGGGAAGGGGGGTCGAGACCTTTGGCCCCGCAGGCGGAACAAAGCAATCCGTCAGAAGAGGCGGGACGGATGGGGACGCAGACCGACGGCAGACCCTGTCCGTTCTGCCAGACGTTCGCTGTCGGTGCTGCCGCGGGCCTCGTCCGTTCTGGGCGGGCGCCGCGCAGCTCGTGCCAGTCTCGGACAGCATCGGTTGGGCATCGTCCCCCGAGGAGGAAATGGAGGAGGAGGAGGTGGAGGATGGAGGAGGAGGAGGAGGAGGAGGAGGAGGAGGAGGAGGAGGAGGAGGAGGAGGAGGAGGAGGCGAAGGAGGGAGGAGGAGGAGGAGGAGGAGGAGGAGGCGGAGGAGGGAGGAGGGAGGAGGAGGAGGAGGAGGAGGAGGAGGCGGAGGAGGGAAGAGCAGGAGGAGGGAGGAGCAGGAGGGAGGGATGAGGAGGACTCGTTCCAAATCTTGCTCTTCACACTCGAGACCAGCAGGCGCCCGCCCTCCCCCTCGGGCATGCGCGTCCAGCATATGATATCGTGCCGGTAATCCTGTGGAGTTTGGGCGCCCCCGCCTCGGGCGCAGGTTGCATGCTCGCTCTGAAAGTGACGGCCCCACTCGATCTCGAGCCTGCTTCCAAGTCCTTGTTGCCAAAGGTCAAGTGTGACGACAGTGGCTCCCCCTCGATACAGTCGAGTTTGATTAGTAGGTCGACCCTGCCCATGCAAGGGTACCCTTGTGTCCTGTGTTTCGCGACTCGTGTCCTCTACGTTCGCATTGTGGTCATCGGAAGAGTCTTGTGTCCTCTCGCGTGTCATCTCCAATCCACCCCGACTGTACGTCACGCTTTCTCCGAGACGCTCTGGCCAGAGAACCCCCCTTTAAACTGGCGCAAGTCAGTCAAGTGGGCCACAACGGCTCCCGCCAGATATCTCTTCGCAGTTGAACCATTCTCAGTCGCAGAGCTCGTTGCGTCCCAGAACGCAATACAGCATGACATGAAGTGGCATGTAGTAGCTGGGAAACGATACGCAATGAGAACGCGAAATGGTTTGTGGACAATGTAGGCGTCTAGAGTCTGGAGTCTACTCGCGGTGCGCCCCATTCTGCTCCTCTTTGTGTCCCCTTCTCCTGCCCCCTCCTTCTACTCGTCCTATCCCTATTTCATGTTCTGCTTTAGTTGTGTAGATCCACACTCCATCCATTTACGCCCTGTTAGGGGCCACGGTCGGGACGTTCCCCTCAGTCCACCAAGAAACGTAACACAGCATACAGAAGTCATTTCTTCCCGGCGACGTCTTGCCATCGACGTATTTTCCGAAGGCGTGACATGAGCGGGGTGCGGCGCACGTCCCGCGCGCGCGAGAGAGAGAGAACCACAACATGATGAAACGCCGCTCTCGCCAACCGCCTTTTTGTTTTCTCCAGGGAGAGGTGCGCTCCCGCTTTGGCACGGCGCATGCTTCCCGAAATGCGTCCCAGTAGTGCATATGAGGCTCATGCTCTCACTGACGCCTGCGCCTCACCCCTCCCAGTCCTCCCACGCTGCCCTTGTCTCTCTCACACCCAGACGCGCCCACACTGAGACTCACCTGCGCAGCCGCACTCGGAGTCACGCAAACTCAGCCACTCGTACTCAGGCTCGTCCGTGTTCTCACGAACTCCTATCGCGGCCTGGCTCATGCGAAATCGAACCGAATGCCATTTATTTCGTGAGGGCGTTGATTTGTGAATGTGCCCAAGAGCCTTCAGACCTTGCGGGATTTCTTACCTGATGAGGGCGGCGGTGATATCCATGGCCAATCCACGATTGGAGTTCCACCGGTTTCCTGACCCTGGATTCCTTATCCAATGGCTCCTTATTCAATGCCCTCTCCGTACCGTGCCGCTCACTTGCCTACACCCACTCGTACTCTCGTGAACGAAACCGCTTCGCACACACTCATTATCAGGAACATCCTGGAGGCATCGCGCGGCGTGTAATAGTCAGAGTGAGGGGGCCGAACGGTCATTCACTGTCCCTGGGTGCGTGGCTGAAGTGGAATTCCGCGGTGCGGATTCTCGTTGTTGTTGTTGTTGTTGTTGTTGTTGTTGTTGTTGTTGTTGTTGTTGTTGTTGTTGTTGTTGTTGTTGTTGTTGTTTTTGTTTGTTGTTGTTGTTTGTTGTTGCTGTTTGTTGTTGTTGTTTGTTGTCGTCGTCCCACCAGCAACCCGCCCCGCGACCCACCCGCGACCCAACCCGCGACCCACCCCGCGACCCACCCGCGACCCACCCGCGACTCACCCGCGACCCACCCCGCGACCCACCCCGCGACCCACCCCGCGACCCACCCCGCGACCCACCCCGCGACCCACACCGCGACCCACCCCGCGACCCACCCCGCGACCCGCCCGCGGCCCACCCCGCGACCCACCCGCGACCCACCCACGACCCACCCGCGACCCACCCGCGACCCACCCGCGACCCACCCCGCGACCCACCCGCGACCCACCTTCGACCCAAACCACGTTCAAGGTACAAACCACAATTTTCGGCGCCTGCGGCGGGCTTTTTTTGCATTCCTTCCAGGTGGAGAGCCCGCGACCCACCCCGTGACCAACTCGCGACCAACCCGCGACCCAAACCACGTTCAGGGTACAAACCACATTTTTCGGCGCCTGCGGCGGGCATCTTTTGCATTCGTTTCAGGTGGAGAGCCCGCGGCCCACCCGCGACCACGTTCAGGGTACAAACCACATTTTTCGGCGCCTGCGGCGGGCATCTTTTGCATTCGTTCCCGGTGGAGAACCCGCGGCCCACCCGCGACCCAAACCACGTTCAGTGTACAAACCAATTTTTTTGGCGCCTGCGGCGGGCTGCTTTTGCATTCCTTCCAGGTGGAGGTGGAGAGCCCGCGACCCACCCGCGACCCAAACCACGTTCACTGAACAAACCAATGCCGCACAAGCGCGGCGGCAGATTTTTGCATGCCGTCTGAGCCCGCAAGGACCTCTTCAAGCCCCGCGCATCCACACCAGCCCGTCCAGCAACTTTGCCCTGGCGAGTTGCCTTGATCAGAGAAGTCGGGGAGCATAAAGTGGAAAACAGGATTGTGTTGCAGTTATCTTGGGAAAGGAGGGGGAGGCAGGAG